TTTGCTAGATTTTGGCATTTAGCAACTGACATACGGTTTAATGTGAAGACAAACAACAAAACTAATAACGCAGAAAAAGTTTCTGGGGCGGGTATTAATACTCCGAGCATGTATGTGTAAAACAGCCAGCGTCTGTGTTGCCCTCCGTTCAATGACACCTGGACTGACACCTACCCGGAGGTGTGGTACAACAAGGTCGAGGACGGGGCGGCATGGTTCATGAGGAAATGGCACAGGCAGGAGGCGGAAGCGTCCGCGAAGCGCCAGCGCGCGGGGGAAACAGCAGCAGAAGGTACGGCCATCTCAGGACCGAAGAGAAACAGAGTCGGGGAAGCGGCGGTGGGGGGGAAGAAACGGCGACCGGGCACTGCTGCAGAAGCGAGTAGGGTAGCCGAGGCAGCACTTGTGGCGAACTACGTACCCGGCTGATGTTGTTGCGCCCTGTTTCCCTCCCTGCTGTGTGCTACACTCCTTTGCAGTCGTCCCCGCTTTAAAGACACTCTTCTTAAGGAAACTCCCCGCTATAAAGACACATTTTTTCCCCAGAACATGGTTCCCCCATAGATGTACAATAATATAGGGGGGTAGTGTTTCCACCATGCGGTCCCCCCCAAAAAATTTGCTGGGGCAGCAAAACTGTAAGGCATTGTAACATCGACAGCGGTCTGCTGCAGCCCGCACTACTGCGTGTGGGTATGGAGAGATTCCTCCCATCTGCTGGCGGGTCGTCAGCTGCCGGCTTGAGGCCATGTGGCGAACCCACGTGCCAGCAAAAGTCTCAACTCGTGTCATTGTTTGGGATTTTTTTGCCTTTCTCGTGGAGTTAAATTTTGGCATTTTTGTTTTGTGTTTTTTTTGCCTCGTGTTGACCATGTTGGGGAAGAGCGGTGTTCTCTTTTCGGTGGGTTTGCCCGATTTTTTGTATGTTGTGGTCTGCGCTACCGACCGTTTCCTAGTGTCCCTCAGATCCCTCTAAGGGGTCGACTGGGTTTGTTTGGTCCCTATGTGGCAGGTAACTTGCGTGTATCGTATCAGAGCTAGTTTCAACAAACTGATGTGTCTCAGGTGTGTTCGCGATATCACGGGCATGATGTTCACCGTGAGGACAACGCCTTGACAATAAGAAAAGTCTACAACAACACCAGCGCACACTGCCGTACACATTACAATAGGTCGTGCTGTACTCCTTCCCGCGTTTCGGTGGTGGACGGAAATTCAAAAATGTGTACAGTATTATTGGAGTACAGCAGCAGTAGTGTTGCGGCCTTCAATTGACGTGTTGTCGCAGTTTTTAAGCAGCACAATTTCGTGGTCGCATTCCTGCTTTAAATGCGCGTATTTTGACACATGTTACACCTCCATTGACCCCGGGGACGGTGAGTTAGTGGCCCCGGAATCCTAAAGACACTTCCCCGCGTTAATGACACTCCAAAAAAAAAAACGCGGTGTGTCTTTAAAGCGGGGTCGACTGGATGTATGTCCGCCGTTTTTTTTCGCCAATCAACGTGTAGTTTACAGTCCGTTGGCCACGGTCGGTATACCTCAATGGTCCCGACGTTTTTTTTTTTTTTCCGGCTGGTGTTGCGTACGCGGCGTTCATTTATTGCGTACCTCATTTGGCGCCGCTCTCTGTCTGTCTGTCTGTCTGTCTCTCTCTCTCTCTCTGTCTCTCTCTCTCGCTCTCTCTCTCTCTCTTTCTCCCTCTCTCTCTCTCTCTCTCTCCCTCTCTCTTTGTCCGTGGCTCTTTCGCCCGACATACACCTCAACCACACTCCTGAGCGGAGAGTGGACACCTCTGCAAGCTCGTGCTTGGCTACATCCATGTTGCCTGCTCCAGCATACCAGGTAGAATAACGTATGCCACTGGCCGATGCACGAAATTTGAAGACTCGGTCTCGCCTTACTTCCTTCGTCTGCTGGTGGTCTACACAACATCACAGCAAAGGTAGTAGATAGAGCAGCAGCCCAGGGAAGATGCCCCGGCAAAAGTACAGCGATAGGCGGGAGTGCACGAAATTTCATACAGTATCCACGCCTAATCCCTAGCAGCAGGCCCCAAATCAGGTGCCGAAGAATAGCAGCAGCAGCACAAGCAGAGGGAAAATAATGAGTGATGAAGACGTGAGCGCGTGTTGAAGTAAAAGAGTAAAGCACAAAATGGTGGTTGACTTGCGTTGATCTGCGCACAGATTTCATTTCCGAAGAGTACCCAGCCTGGGTACGCACACATATACATCATAATGAGGACGCCCCGGGCTCCCGATAGAAGCATGCGTGGTGCCCTTCGGCTTCTCCTGTCCGTTGTCGGATGCATACTCTACATTTGCGAAGCGTTCTTGTTGTACAACACATCCAGTCCATCTGTCTTCTGTTTCTCTGCATCTTGTTATTCATTGCATTCCTCGTCCTCTTCCTCGGGTTCGGGTTCGGAGCAGCTAGTACTGTTCGTGACCGGCGATGTCTGAGGCAGGAACAGAGATACAGGAGAGCCACGCAGGTATGTATGCACGCATGGTGCATGCGCATGCATGCATGCATGCATCGAACAGCAGCGTACAACCGACGACTTGCCTGCGGTGGGATCACGACGAAAATGCCGCTCGTTGTTTAGTAGCGCTCCTCCTCTCACATGTACACGGCCGTTGCTGCTCATGACCTGCGTTCTCTTTGGCAGTGCGCCGCCGGCAGCCAATAAAGCACGCCGTTCTACGCACTCGGCTAACATTGATTCAGACGTTGCTGCTGTGTTTGGCGCACAAGGGCATGGGACAGGCCGGCTTTTCGTTACATGTAGTCGTTCACTGCAGTCAGTCTTGCCTCCGTCGCCGTGGACAGTTTGTTCCCCTTGTTTTTCCTCTTTCCTGAAAGAGAACTTCGTCAGACGACGAACGCAACCGATTGCATGATTGAACATTCCCCCCTTTTGTTTCGTGTGTCCCCTGTCTCCTGACCCTTGCAGAGGTATGAGGTCCTCTGCTGACTTGTACTCTGTTGTTGTGGTTGGTCTTGCCCCTGAACCCCATTTCAACACCTTCGAGTGCCGCGTGCCGCGTACCGTAAAGAACAGCACAGGGTTAACGCTAGCCGCACAGGGCGGCGGTCGTCATTTTTTTTTGTTCTAGCCAAAAGTACGCTCCGACGCGGCGTTCGCTTTTAGTTACCCGGCGCGTCGGTCGCCAGTACCCGGGGGCACATTATCGGAATGAAATGCATGTAGGACCAAGGGCGGCGCCCGCCGCGGCGACATCCATAAGAAAGTGATAAAACACACGGCGCGGCATTGCACAAGCATTCCACAAGCACACCTCTCCGTGGCCTGCTTCGTGTGGTTTTGTCGTGTCGCGAACCACCGACAACAACCTACTTGCTGTCGAGTAGTAAGACACATGGCGAAGCATTCCAAGGGTTTGTTCGAGGTAGACTTTTTTTTTTTTTTGTCTCCCATCATTGGACTCTGTCGTTTTCCCCTCTGGCCCCTATCCTCCACTTCTACCAGCTAGACGACCCAACCGGGTTCACATAGGACGGGGGGTTGGACCCGCTCCTGCGGCATACATATGTATGCGTATGTACTATCGAAACAGCAGTCGTTGGGGAATGTTGCATCGTCCCTATACTGCCAGTCGTTGTGGTGTCCTGTTTTTTGTTTATTTGTGTGCCCCATCTATATTGTTCGGTTGCAAGCAGGCCTTGGTGCCTCCTACGCCTTGTTCCCTTGCCTTCCGGCCGGCCTTCTTTTTTGTGTTGTCTGGCCGTGTTGGATGACTGTTCAAGATTGAGTGACCCCTTAAACGTCGTGCCGGTCTTTCTTGACTTCGGGTGAATTCGGCGACAACAGCGGGCGCACCCAGCAATCACACACGCAGCTCCACACACGAGACACCTGAGACCAGGCGGAAAAATAAAAAAACTTTGCGCGACAACAATCTGCGCGTTGTCTCACAGAAAAGCGGTTGGCAAGCGTATGTCACGGAGTCTACGGCGTCTATGTATACCTCCACACATCCCCCATCCCCCAAGACGAAAAAAGTTCCATCAAGACAATAGAGACGACGCGGCGATTGCTCAAGCAGGTTCTTTGCACTAGCGGGGGTTCCAAGCAGGTTCAAATGTTTTTTCATCTACACCGGTCAGCGGAGGGTATCGTGTTGCAGCGACATGCGCGTTGGCCCGACCAGATGTCTTACCGGCGCCAAGCGGTTCGACGGCTAAAGTCCCATCACCTTTTCATCGCCCTATTAGACGCGCCGTAATGCCTCGAACTGCTTTTAGACAGCAACAGTAGCTCATACCACTGCTAAAAACGTCAGCACAAAAGTGGTAGCAGCAGCAGCGGTGTCAAGTATTCGCCTGTAGGACCGACACACGGCGGTCCTCCCGCGCCAGCTTGAACGACCCGCAGTTCGGGGAATCGGGGCTCGTGGGCGGCGAATACAACAGTTACGAATGTTTGGTTTGGATCTACAGAACCGCAGAGGTTTCGGAGCCAGCGGCAGCCTCCGATCCCACCACCACTAGCAGCGGATGGCGAGCGTGCCAGCGTGCGTGTCGCTGCTCCACGATGCTCTCTACATATTGGTATAGGCAAATGTCTTGGATTTGGGGTAGAACCGATTTCCATCCTTGGCAGGAACCGCTTGAGTCTACCTGCTTCAAACCTAGAATAAACACCGGCTTCAACACCTCAACAAACGACCTGCAGTGCGTAAGTGCTGTGCCGCCCACAGCATCATATGCGGAACATGTCTGCTCGCTTGGGCAGCACACACCCAGCTGGTCTTCCCCGTGTTTCTGCTCGCCCCTCAGGTGTTTCCCCTTTAGAAAAGCCAAGTAGAACGGGCCGTTCGCCACGTGTCCTGGGCCGTCTGAAAGAAAAATCTGATGACAATGCGCCGCCGGACCCGCAGAGTTTTGCTCTTTTTATTCTTCGTGCTAGTGCCCCGGGGCGTTCTCTATCCAAAGTGGCATGTATCATCCTACATGGCACTGCTCTACTTAGCTCTCCTTGTCTTCACCGTTCTCTTCAAAATATTTTCACTCTACACTCCTTGCCGACGCCTTTGAGCCTCCTCGCGGAAACGTGTCCTGGATCTTTGCTGGCAAGCTAGCGCATGCGCGTTAACACTCCTCTTCTCATACAATTGTGTACGCATTTGGTTAGGTACCATGTCGCTGTTTACGGCGTGGCAGCTTTCGCGCACAGGCTGGCCAATTGCATTACCCTCCTGTCACCAGGGTTAAAATTGGACGTGGCATCTTTCGCGCACAGGCCGCTCAATGACGGTACACTCCAGTCTCCAGCTGTATAACAACCAAAACCGTTCTTCCTGTCGTGCGTATGTGCCCATACCACACTTCGTTGTTGCATATCCCTGTCTCCCTTTTCCTAACGCATGTCGGTAGCCCTCGCCGCCCGCCGTCGCACGGAACCCCAACGAAGTCGACGTGTGTGTCCTCTTCGCCGTGGTAAACGGCAACGCACAGGTGATCGAGACGCCCTGCTGGCCCTCTACCACGGCACGGGAGGCCCCTCCTGGCATAACAGATCAGGCTGGGGGTCGGACAGGCCGCTCAATGAGTGGTACGGCGTTACCACAAACTCGGCGGGACGGGTCGTGGCGCTGGAGCTGAGGTACAACAACCTTCAGGGTGAGAGAGACAGGCGGAATAACCTAGCACAAGGAAGTGCCCCCGTGCTCATTTTGTTTATTTGGTGGGCGAGGCCAGGGTTCACCTTTCCTCTCCACGGCTCGAGCAACGGCCATCGTCTAGGGTTTTGTGGTTGTTTTGGGGAGGGGTTTTTACCCGGGGATGACGAGCGCGCGTTGCCAGTGGTGTTCTAGGGGGGCAGTAGCCTTCGCAGCGTTTTGTATTCAGGAAACATGTTTGAGACAGCATACAATCGGGGAAGTTGGGTTACGGTCAGCGTTAGGGAATAGGGTCTGCGTTCCCCCTCCCCGCTCTATTTCACCATGAACTTGTTATTCGCGCGAAGGCGGTCCTCAGGGGAAGGTCGGCCTCAAACCAAGTTCTATCGCGGTGTCGTTGTTTTGTAGCACGGGAGGCGCCTGACACCAGGCGGGGGGAAACAGCGGTGCCTCACGATGCAAGAAGCTTCGCAGGGCACCCTTGCCACGCACGGCATTGGATTTGCCAGGTTTCCGGTTGCCTAGAATCAAATATCACTCTGAGAAGAAGACTCTTTGTGTGCTTCAGTGGAGCGGGCGGCGGACGCCGTAGACGCCGATCACCGAGAATGCTGTCTCCGTTTCGACTGTTGTCGTCTTTGCTCTGTAAGTATGCACATACCAGCCGAGCAATCTTTCAGCTCCAAGACAAAATTTTCAACAGATCGTCTGCTGTCTATTTGCTTTGGACAAATGCAGGTTCTATCCCAGCGGGCCTGGGTGAGCTAGGCGCCCTGGAGCACTTGCACCTGACCAACAACGAACTCCACGGTAAGGGCAACCAACGCCGATGTGATTGGCGTAGCCTCAACACCTCGAATCGCTTTCTCTCTCGGGAGTTTGTTCCTTGCGAATGACGCACCTGCGGGGGGGTTTCAGATGGAATTGTCACACGCTGGTTTGGGTTATTGCCAACACCTTGTGCCTTGTTGGCGTGTGTTTCCACGTGTACACAAAACGGTTTGGCGGATGCATGGCTACGATTCTACCGTACGATTTTAACGCGCGCGGTTTGAACCTTTTGGGCCGCATAGAGTGAACCCTGGTTTTTGTAGCAGCCTACCTGCATCCACGTTCCGTCGGCTCCAACTCCTTTCATCAACCAAAAAATACCTCGGGACGATTACCCACAGGGCAACAACGTCTTCTTTTCTGTACCCAAACCGAACAGGACAAGAAGGGTGGCCTTGTGTCCACATCAAGCGCTATTTTCTTTACGCCTCAAGCTCAACGTGTGGTAGCGGTGTTGCATCCACACGAGTCTTGAGCGGTTGTTCATCACGAAGCGGTGCCTGCAATCGGCCACTTTGTGAGCAAAGACGCGGTTCTTTAGATTTGACGGGCAACGTATATTAGTATATGTCGGTGCCTCCCGCGGCTTCGGCGCCAGCTCCGTAGAGCGACAAGTATTGGTGACCTCACGAACCGTGCGGCGCTTGAAATTTCGTCAGCGATTTCACGAAAGCGGACCACCCCACGCACACACGTTGATTTGAGAGGTAGTGGACCCTCTGCCCCCACACGCTGCGATTCCGAGGTCGGTGTGCGTTTTTTTTCAGCGACCAGCGTACAAGACAGCAATATTTTCGCAGCATGGCGGCGTTCTACCCACAGCAGATCGCGTGGAAAATATGTGCCAGCGAGGCCGGCTGACCGCCGGCCACCACAACACAAGACTCATGCGACGGCATATTTGCTCTTTCCGTTTTCCGTGTGCATCTCCCGGTAATTTGATGGACCTCCGTTCTCCCCCCTTCAGGAGCCATCCCGCCCGAGCTTGGGCGACTCCACTCCCTCACGGACCTTCGTCTGTACTGCAACCATCTCTCCGGTATGTTTGCTGAGCTGCGTGGGTGGACATGTGTGGAATGCACCACCTTAGGTTTTTGTTTCCTGTTGTGTGTCGGGAGGTGTCGTTGCTTGCGTCCACCATGAAGATAATGCTGTCGGGAATAATAACAACACCTCGGAAGTGTGTCTCCCCCCGTAAATTGGTCGGTTCAAGCTGTTTACATAGCCAATGCGCCAAGACGATGGTAACACGGGTCGACGACCAGCAAGAGGCACAGAAAAGGGAAAGGGCAGTGAATTTACATCTTGACAACGACACCGACTGAATGTGCACCAACGCGAGCGTTACAGGCGTGCGATCAGTGTCTCGTTAAGAGCGATCACAGAAGGAATGCTTACTATCGACTGAGTTCTGTGAGCTTCTTGCAGCACCTTCGTAGGGCGTAGATCTTCGATTTCGGCGCTTTTTCGACCCTTGATGTTCTTCATCACCACGATGTTACAACTCCGATGCACGTAAACTATCTAGCTTCGTCTAAGCCCTCTCTTCAGTTGAACAGTCGCTCGGCCACCGCAGCATCACCCCAACGCTACGGAGTTGACATTTCTAGTTTGGATGGATTCACCGTTGCACCTACTTTAGGCAGCTTGGTTTTGACAAAACGGGTCCAGATATACCGTAAATACCGAACACACGGACATCTGCGACGGATGTTTGGCTATGGTTTAACGGAATAGTTGCGAACAACTTTTCAAGCGCTTTCCCAAGGTTTTTGAGTGATACTGCGTCTTATCTTCGAGCGTTTCGGCTATGTATTGAGAAGGGAAGCTTTTGGCTTGTGGCCCGTGCGCATGCGCGCCCCAGCGTATGTTTCGAGAACTACAGCAGGAGGAGTTCGGCCAATGGATTTTGAAAATCGTTTGTTTTTTATATGATACCAACCCCACCACCACCACCAACAACAAAGCGCACCCATACATCTATCTTTTTTTCGTTTTCAGGCAGCATCCCGCCGGAGCTAGGAAATCTCCTTGCTCTCAAGAAGCTAGTGGTCTACAGCAACGACCTCTCTGGTGAGCATTCCCAATCCTCCCCCCGCCCCTGTTTCCCACGTCTATGGCCTCCCCCATATGGTTCGGATGACTTAGACCTTACAGGCGTACCGGTATCAGGTTGTGCAGATCTTGGGAGCTGTTCATCCCCCCCCTTTTCGACCACAATGCATGGGCCGCAAAAAGCTCAGTGCCCATTCTCTACGAATCACACCGAACGCTTACCGCTACTCGAGATTTGCGACCCCCCAACAAGCGTTCCAACCATTGCCTGCCTCACACGAGGCGCACGGCTCACACTTGCATATGGACGCCTGATGCATTTTTCGCAACTTAAGGGACGGTTCCGCCGGAGCTGGAGGGGCTACGGGCTCTGGAGGAGCTCCTTTTGTCGGACAACAAGCACCTCCTAGGTGCGTTAGCCTTTGGTTGACTTTTGACAGCCTGTGGTTGACTCTCATTAGCCTCTGGTTGACTTTCGCTAGCCTGCAGGTGACTTTCGTTCGCCTGTGGCTGACTTTCGTCAGCCTGTAGCTGACTCTCGTTAGCCTGCGGGTGATTGTCGTCAGCCTGTGGTTGACTGTCGTTAACCTGTGGTTGACGTCCGTATGACACCAAGGGGTTGTTTGGACTCTCTCCGGTCGGAACCCTGATCGGGGACATGTGACGGCTTGGGTTCTTGTTGAGTGCTCGTACCGTTCGTCCTGCACAAGTACGGCGTGCTTGCTGCTCGGGGGTTGTCCACGTGGGACATTCGAACGGGCACGGAGAGCGTGCGAGTTGCATTGCCCTCCTCTGCCCTGCGTGCCTCGAACTGGAACTGGATGTGTGGTGCTGGCGGTTTCGAGAGTTGTGGCCGCTTTTCTCGCTCTACATGTAGGGGTGTGAACGACAAAGCGCAACACTCACCTTGTTTTGGCACTTTTTTCTGTTCCGATGGTCTTGTCGTGGTACGCAGCAGATATTCCTTCGGTGTACACCCGAAACTTCTCACAACCAGCGCTCTTCGCCTTCTTCTACTATACCCATACTTCCACCGCATTACTCGAACTCGATCAATCAATCGATCGACCTCCACGCACGACCACCGCCCCCGCAGGTGACATCCCGCCGGGGCTGGACCGAAACCTCGCTCTGAACAGGCACACGAAGCAGCTCCCCGCCGGCGTACTCGCGGGTGAGGCGCGGCGCGCGTGGGATTGTGATGCTGAGACGGAGCGCCGGTGCCGTTGACGCCGTCTTGCTTCTTGCACGTGTTGCTCGCCCCTTTCCCTCCGTCTCTTTCGTGTGCGTATCTCGCTGTGGCTCTAGACCAATGCCCCCAACGATCGTGCACAGCAGTCGCACCGCACCGAAGCTCAAAGTGCCCCCCCCCCCTCCTCAAGTAGCCGAGAGAGGATCGTTGATTGCCACCTATATCTATCACGGCACTGTACTTGGAAGTTTCCGAGTGCAGCGGGGAGGGGTGACGAGAGGTATTGAATTCGGCAGGGATGTTCTCGGAGGTGATGTAGGCGGAGGTAGCCCCTCTCACCAACGCTAGTTTGGAAGACTAGATACAGATAGTCCGATCGAGGCACGGGCACATTTTATTGCAGCATCTCTCAAAGTGTTCTGAGCCGGTCCGACAGAGAGTACTGCTGCCGTGCATCTGTAGAAAAAAAAACATGCGCCGTTGTCTCTCCCTTTCTTTGGATTTTGATGGCGCCTGCCACTGCTGCCGCTGCCGCTGCCGCTGCCGCTGCCGCTGCTTCTGATGCTCCAAAGGCATGTTCTCTCCGATTGGTAGCTCTCGCTGGGAGGACGCCACGCTGGAGGACGATTCGAAAACGATATTCTCCATCTTCTCCGTAGACGGCAACGAAGGAGTGACTCCTGCTGATTCTCGTGCCCCTTCAGCTGATCCTCCATTCGCTGCTGCTGGTGCTGCTGCTGCTGCTGCTGCTGCTGCTGCTGCTGCTGCTGCTGCCTCCCGTGGTGGTGGTGCTCCTGAGAAAGAGCGCGAGCGCCAAGGTTTTCGTCTATATTATCTTGTCGTGGTTGAAGTCGTCTGGCACCGAGCGCCTTGGTTCCTAATCCCTGCCTGGTGACGTTTTTCCCTTTCTGTTCGAAGCACGGTGGTTTGGCGTGACTCCACTACGGATGAGCCATGATCCAGTAGTCGCGCAAGGGTCCGTGGGGGCGTAACAGGGTGCACAGGAAGGGCACGGAGATCAAAACCGCGTTGTTATGCGGAAGGGTAAAAAATCTACCTATCCGTTTAGTTTTTCCGCTTGCCCCCCCCCCCGCGTGTGATGCTTGAAGACCCCCTGCCCCTTGTAGTCGCAAAGCCTTTGCCCGGTGTAGTCGTTTTGTCCACTTGAATTTCGAATCTGTGAGCGGGTTCGGTGCTCCCTCGTGGTCCCGCCGCAGTACAGCGCCGTGCTACAAATCCTCCCTGTCGAGCGCATGTTTTTCGGTCGAATGGCGACATTGCGTTGTGGTTTTCTGCTTTGTCGGTCCGTCCCAATCATCGAACTCATTCCTGATCGTACGTACCTAACGTGCCGTGTTTGCCTGCCTCTCACCTCTTGTGTACACCAGGACGAAGGCGACGGAGGGAACGAGACAGAGCCAATAAGCCCCGGGTGGCGAAAGTGTTGGATTCGATGGCAGAGGCGTGGCACGTCGTGGTACCGATTGCCGACGACGCCACCAGCGTCTGGCTGCTGGTTAAGGTAGCGGCGGCGAGGATGGGCCCGCTGTGGTGGGTCAGCGCCGCCGCGCTGTCGGCGGCCGGCCTGGAGCGCGCGTGGCTCGTCCTCACGCTCTGCGCCGTGCTCGCCCTGATGCCGCTCCTGGGGATCGTTCGCATCGTGCTGGCCGCGCTGGCGTGGTGCGCCAGGCTGTGCACGTTTCCCCCCGGCACCTTGTGCTGCCTCTGCGTTCTCGGCTGCTGCTGGCGCTGCCTCAACTTCTCCATGGACGGGCCGCGGTGCAACGGGAGCACGGCCACCCGCCTGCTGGCGGGACTCAACTGTGCCGGCGGCGGCGGCGGCAGCGGCGACCGCAGCGGCGACCGCAGCGGCGACGACAACGGCGACGAGCCGCCGCCACCGCCGCCGCCGCAACGAAATCGATTTGCCGCCCCGATATTTTTCCTGGACGCGGTGTTGTGGGCCTTGGTTGGGGCTAGGGCCCGGTGCAGCCCTTTCTGGAGAGGGATGGGGTTGAGCCTGGACTTGTCACCGGGCCAAGAAGGAGGCGATAGTGGCAGTGGCGGGGAACAAGCGGCGGGAGATTTCGGGGCTGTAATCGACTCGTGGGTGAGTTGTCACCCGTTCAGCTGGCTGGGCAACTGCGTCTTTGGCAGGGTTCGTCCGTCGGACTCGGGTTGCGCGCGTCGCGGCTGTTGCTGCGCGGGGCGGCGCAACCTCGCGGAGGGGACGAGGAACAACGGTAGCAACGTAGCCACCACCTCCGACAGTGACAACAAGAACACCGCTACCACCGGCCCTACCATCAACGGCAGCAGCAGCAGCAGCAGCAGCAGCAGCAGCGAGGAAGAAGACCCCGCGATTTCGTCCGAGAGGCGACGACGAGCTCGTGTCATGGTACGCTCGGTCGGGGAGACCCTGGTGGTCGACCCCCTGTTCTTGGCGCTTTCCGCGGTGTCTAGGGGCGGCTGGGACGGTAGCCTCGCGGGCATAGCCGGAATCTCCGCGGTGTTCTCCGCGCTGCAGCTGCTGACGGAGCTGCGATACTACGTCAAGGGAGCCAGCGCGGTGCTGGAACGTGTCCCTGTTGTTCTCGCTGATGATGATGATGATGGAGGTGATGGAGGTGATGGAGGTGGTGGAGGTGGACGTACCCTGTCGAGGGACGAAGAGAACCAACACAGCAGTGTGTGGTCCGCGTCTGACCACAGCGGGTCTAGCTCTGATGATGATAGCGACAGGAGCTCGAGTTCGAGCTTGAGTTCGAGTTCGATCTCTGATGGACGGAGCCTAGAGACGGCCTCCGAACGGGTGGCAAGGGAGTGCTGATGACGACGGCGTCGCGCGAGGAATGTACAGAGTTGTTGGGATAGCTTCGACGACGATGATGGGTATGTCCGACCCTTGGTTTTGCCACAGGAGAAACAAGTTTTTCTCGCCCGCGGAACAGAACATTGGCCGCTCAGCAGTTGGCTCGAGCGCTGAAAACCTGGTGGATGGACATCTGCGCTGTCAGGTCGTCGGGAGTGGTGCCATGGCCTCGAGCAACGTTAATTTACGAGGTTTGGTCTTCGATGAGGAGGGGTGCGGGGTAGGGAGTAGGAGCTGGAGTAGACATTAGAAACAGGTTACTGCAGTCTCGATGATGGTGGCCCGCGCAACGTTCGCTGAGCAAAGTATGAAGCAACAGAGCGGAGGTGTGGGCATATTTTGGGACTTGATGGAGGAGTGAACGACGTCGTTCTTTCAGAAGAACTCCCCCCCCTCTCTCCACTCGCTTTTTTTTTCGACTAAAACTGCATTGTAATATAAGCACTCGAACATTCATGTGTTTGTCGACGTAGACCTAAGAGACAAGAAGGTAGAACTGTTCGTGGGGCTCGAGACGCACGCTGCCCTCGGAAGCGGAGGTTGGCGAAGGACTACCAAGCTAGGGCTTGTAGAGAGAGCTCGGACAATTAAAATTAACGAAGACGATTCCAATTCGTTCGTCGTCTCTCTGGGAGAAAGGCATTGAAAGAAGGCAAGCAGGCAAGTAACACCACTGGCAGACACGTCTCTGACGGAGAACCCATTCGTGCGGGTTGGACCGCGACGTTCCGGCGACTTTCAACCTAACGAGGGTCTTGGGGTGATCATTTCCCCTCTGTCGTTGGCGGCTCTCCACCTGTTGGTGGCGGAAAACCTAGCCTCCCCCCTTCCGGCGGGTGCCGTCCAACCAATGGGTCGCATGAGTATTCTGAGCGATGCGCACGAGAGAGGCTATAGCCTACAACCCCGACTTCCCGACGAACGTTCTCTTCAATATACATGCTGTAGTCCAGCAACGACCTTCCCCCCCCGGCACTATGAAAGAGGGGCAACCTTTTGTGATGAGAGGCCGAGTGTTTTGCGTTTCATGCCTGTAACTCCCAACAGAAGGCCAAACTGGGGCACGAAATAAGTATGTGCGACTTGCTTTGGATAATCGAGCAATAGCAAGAGAGGATCGCGTTACACAATGTTGGCTGTTGGCAGCTCGTCCTTCTAGCCCAGTCCAACAAGGCTAGGGTGGCTTACAGTGCCGCCAAGATAATGGTCCCTCACATCTACCTCTCCGGTGTGACTCTCATCATACCGAGGCCTACCACAAACGAATACTCAAAAGGCCCTCGTGTATGTGGGAAAACCACTCAAAGAACGAGAAGTTATGCCTGAAGGAGGTCTCTGTCTTTGGTTCCAAAATTCCAATATATATATACATGTTGATTACACCTCCGCTTGGCGTTGCATGGGGCCAGACCCCTCCCTGCTTCAAGTTCGGCAGAGATGCTGTACTACCGTATATGACACAAGATAACACACCCCCTGGACCGATTTCTATAGTTCGATTACTCCACGATGAAGGAGATGCATAAACGAAACGATACATTTTCGAAAAGCTCTCGACGAGACGGTTTTAACACCGCCATTTTCGGCGCTGTTACTGTTTCTACAGTTGAGAAATCGAGCTTTGAAAATTGGTCAAGGGGGTGTGTTATCTTGTGTCATATACGGCATATCGGCGCACCGACCGCGGATTGAAACGGTAGCAGTTGGAACAGCTCGGGGAAAATACATTGCTTGTTGTGCGCAAGTCTTTGATTGCAAGTTGGTGCCTAGATGGATGGGTGAAATGGGCTCCAGTCTGCTGCTTTTTTGTCGAGCCTGGTTACAGACAGACGGACAATAGACGGATAGACACGCATGGTTTGTTTCCCCCCCCCCCCCGTCTTTTTTTTTTGCGCAGACATTTACATGCGATCCCTCTGAACAGTTTTTCATTGCAAAACAAAGTGGGCACTTGACAAAATAGGGTATGCCCCGCGTGTTTGGGCACAGAATGGGGTACACTCTTTGTCGGTGTGGGGTGCAACGCCTGACGCCGGGTGGGCGCCTTTACACCGCCTTCTAGCGCTTCAACCCCATGCATCAGGTCCTTAGAAAGGACGCCCAACTTCTTTTTTTACTTTTCACCCACATGAACAGGGTCAACTAGGGCCTGGAAGAGGGGAGCTTGTTGGAGGACCCCATTTTGTTAACGAAACCGCGGGGTACACCCCACTTTCCGCTAAAAGTACCCCATTTTGTCGATTGCCAACAAAAAGCACCTCTAATAGCGGGCCGCTCCGAAAAAAAAACATCACAACCCTTTCACAATGAGTCCACGATTGATTCCCGTGGACATTTCTCGCCCTGCGAAAGGCATCTGCTCAAAGCGCACGTCATGCATTAGTGGCCATTCAGGTGTCCCGGTTGCATGTACCCTACACAAGAGGTTTTCCCTCGCCCTGCAACGGACCTTCACCAGCGGCACGCGCCATTGATATAGTACTTCACATCCGCGCAAACGTTTGAAAGTCGTTGAAGAAAGGAGTCGAGAGGTGGGTTGCATATTTTTCGGGCATGCCAAGTCATGCTGTCCACTTTTGCGTGATCTACACATGTGCAGCGGTCTCTTGCCTTCCTGAGGAGCTATTATTCGGGGTCACACATCAGAACTCCATGCATTCCTCTTTCTCGAGTTCGAGTTCCCATGGCTCTTCGCTGGTCCTTTCGTTTGGGAGGCTGCCGTTTGGGATGCCTTCCCCCCCCAGTGGCATTCGTTCCTCGGTTCTAGAACCCTTGGGGACTCCCATGTCACCAGCACAACCGCCTCACAGCTTCCGAGGGGGTCCGACACCCGCTTGGATATCCACGACAGTCCGGAGGTCGCTCTTCGGAAAAGCGGGCGGTAATCGGTTCCCCTCTCCTGCTGCCGTTGGTTCTGCGCCTTCTCCTGTGGCGACTGCGGCGACTGTCGCGACTGTCGCGACCGTGGCGACCGTGGCAACCGTGGCGACTGTGGCAACCGTGGTGAGTGTGGCAACTGTGGCGACTGTGGCCGCCGCATCGCTGACTGGTCGAACCTTGTGAAGGCGGCGAAGGGTCCGAATGCTAGCACTCCGGTTAGGACCTTGAGTCGTTTATGGCGGTGGTGATGGTGCCAGAGGGTGTTTGAAATTTTGGGCAAGCATTGGATTCAAAACGCTCACCGTAGAAGACATTCGCTTGTGTGTGTGAAATAGAATGCGTAGGAATAGAAGAAGTCAAACAAGTGGTGGGGCGGACAACCGTAGCTTAAGGGACATACGGTTTGTTGGTGAGGTGGATTATGCCATCCTTACGAAGGCTACTGTGGTGATACTCATGTGTGGTTTTGAGCTAGATGCAATTGCGCAAGTAGTGGCTTTGTTCCTCGTTCTTGGATCTTCGGGGTATCTCCGATCATATCTTTGACAAGTTGTCACGTGTTCCGCTGTCGCGTGTTCCGAGTTCCGAATGCGTCTTAGTACGAGGAATTTCTTGCGGCTGATGTACGAGTGCCTCGATGTTTGTGATGCATCCTGGTGCTCACTCTCTTCCGTGGGTTGTGTCCACGAAAGTAACCAATAAAACGTCTTAACCATCTCTCCACGTTTGTCAACCGGGTCAGCCGTGCTAATCCAGCAGCACTAGGCTTGGGGCCAATCAACACGGTATCGCACACCCTGGATCGTTTTTCTAAACTCGATTTCTCCACAGCAGAAGACGCGGCAGCACCGAAAACGGCCGACGTCGTCTCGTCGAGAGGTTCATTTATGCTTCCGCTTCGCCGTGGAGTAGTCGAGTGTTGAAAATTGGTCCAGAGGGTGCGGTGCCTAGTGTCACCTACGGTACTTTCATCGAGCGGGTCACTTGGAGCCGTCGCCTCCCCTGCTGAAACAAGTTGGCCCTGTATCGTAGCGCAAGGTGCGCATGAAGGGGTTTGGCTTGTCGCACCTCTGATCAGACCATGCATCAAAAGTATGGGATGAGAAGATGAAGAAGCATCACGTGATACAGTAGCAAAAGAAGCTATATCCAATAACGACAAGTCAGCTCTATCGGGCGTGAAAGCTTGGAAGGGCTTGGCTTGTCAAGCGTCGACCGTACACGCAATCGGGATGCTGCGTGTTGTTCGTTCTTCTTGCGATTCAAATAGATAGGCATTGTGCCGGTCTATTCATGGCAGGTTGAAGTACGTAGCTCGGTCTGTTGTCACGCCTCACGTAGGTCGCCCAATGTATACCCGGATGCGGAATATGCTGAGAGGATGGCTTCGAACATCAGGCCTTGCTTCCAACCCTCACATGCCACGGCTAGCTCTCGACCACGTATCCGTTTCCCCACCCACACTCCTCGGACTCGTGCCAACCTGCCTAAACCACGTGTTGCAAACCCCACCCATCGTCAAGAGGTAGAATGTGAAGGAAATTGGGGCGTGTGAAGCGATTCACATTTGTTTCACATGTACGATGGTCGAACGAAAAAGCAATGGACCTACTGCAGCTTTGTATGTGGCTCACGCGTACATCAATGCTGAAGGGGATGATCGGTGTCGCCCGCCCGGTCGCCGTGTAGGTGAAAGCGATTGCCGAGGAAGCGTTCGCCCCGGCAAGTACGAAGTAGCCCGTAATCTGCTTAAGGATCCCGGCCTTTGTCTTGGCATAGAAAACCTTTGCCGACTGAGACGATGACTGCATTGTTTGCACGAAGGGGGCAAATGAGGATACGAGTACCAACGTCGTGGGGCGCGATATGCGTAGCGTGATGAGTGCATGCAGAACGCGCGAAGGACCGACCTCAAAATGACAGCGTTATGCCCGACAAAACATAGCGCCCTCTGGACATGCTGCACCATACCGCAGTATTCAGCTTCCTTGAGGAAGAGCGCACAGCAAACGGGGGTCGCGTGAGCTGTGACCGCAGCTACAGAGCATGTTCTGACCAGAGAATGAACAAAATCCATGCGATGCAGCCGGCAGTGGTCACACAATGTTGTTCGTTCATCGGCCGGACTACCGGTACATGCTCTGCCTCAAATTGTAGTTGTTTACTCTCAATTCTCTTTCTCCTCCTCCTTCGCGCGCTCTCGCATCATCCACTCAAACAAAAACTTCATCTCTGCCTACCCGTTTGCAGTTGGGTTTCGAATCAGTCTGGGCACCTCTATTCTTCGAGCTTTGTGCTTCTGTCGTTCGAAAAGCGCTGTTATAGAAGAAGAGAATGTGATAAGAATGAGGACAAACCGTGATGCGCGATGACTACATCTAGCCCAAAGCCCTCTGCGGTAGCCGTTGGTTGGCCACGGATCACGCAAGAATACGAGCATCGCGCTGACAAATTCGTGGTGATGTTTGTTGTCGGTGCGCTCCACCCACTATTTCCACAACACCCCCGCGCAAGAATCTGGGCACGGCTCACCTTCGCCCGGGCGTCGTCGATGCAGCCAATAATTTGGTGTGCCACGACGCTCGTCAGCCCAACCTTTGGGTTCCAGAAGTTCCCACCGAGCAAACAAACGAAGCGGGCACGTACGGCGAACGACACGCGCTGCTTATTCATGCATCATCCCGCATACTTTCTGTGCAGAATAATTCGTTTCTCTCCAATGTAGCAGCTCTGCAAAGTAGAGCTGTGATACACCGGAGACTTTCTCGCCTCGAGGCCGAACTTCGGCCATCCTTCCGTATCACACGCCCTTCCCCTACCTCCCTACGCGCGCTCGCTCTCGTCGTGATCTAGCCGCCTAGTCCTACCCACAACGACGAAGACAACAGCTCGTTGACGGGGTGGTGAACGAAACACCACTTCGGCGGCTCTGATTGGTTGGTTACGGCTCTCACCGTTGTGACTGCACCGAGGACAATGATAGTATCAACGGCTTGAAACGGCCACCGCGCGCCACTGAAAGAGAACGAGCCAATCAAGGCGATACCGACCAGGAGCCCCATGCTGAGCGCTTGGAAGACGTTGAACTCGTCTGCCAGGACCTTTGCCTTCGCCAGTAAGCTGTGGTCGGGAAGCAACTGCAGAATCGCGGGGAGGGGGGGCGTACTCTTATGTTTTGCATGCCTGAGCGGTTAGACCATTGACCACGCGTCCTCGAGAGGACGGGGCATTGTTCCCACAGGTCCGATCACCGATGGCCAATCGTTCCTTTCGCGGGGAGGGGGGGGGCGGAGGTGGGGCTAAACGGCAGTTCGCCTTTTTGTGGCGGGCATTTTGTCGTTCTCGGCGGCGACTGACAACTTATTTTCGTTCCCGACAGACCAATGGCAAAGATATTCATCCAGGAGGCATGTTGTCGAAAGGGAGCGCCGCTCCTACGCCGAGCGGATTCAACTCGCACAACGTTCAAGACCGAGGCGGGCAAAGGGGAGCAGTGCGGTGCATTATGGCCACACTTTGCTACAATCAACTTGAGGTCTCGGTTCATCAAAGGTGATTCCGACAGGAGCCTGCTTGAAAAGGTCGAGCAACCGCGTGCAGGGCCCTCCTGTTTGAGAAGGCGTTATTGCTGATTGATGCACGACATATCCAAACAACGTGATCAACAAGGTTTCCGCAGCCGCCGCATGCGGTCGTGAAGGTGCACCAAATCGATGTCAGACGACCTCGAACATAATGCATCCAAGGCAAAGAAAGTCAGTCTGTTTTCCGTATGGCTGGCTCGCTCACATGCATCGGTAAGCTCTGCACCCAGAAGTCCACGACAATCGGGATCCCGAACATCAGAACCGGGAGGGACATCGCATTGTTTGTTTGCAGAACCTATAGCTCCGGGAGCGAACGACCACCGCCCATCGCTGTCGCCAGGGAGAAGTTGCAAGCCACTCCTTTGACAAAGAAGCTTCGGTGCCAACGGCGACAAGGAGCGCACAGTTTTGGGGTGGTGGACGACAAGGGGCAAAGGGCGAGTGCGATCCTGAAAGGTCTTTCTCTATCGTATGCATATGAACTTCATCTCTGCTGGCCGACGGGTATTTCTGTACAACAAGTGTGTATGCTCGTCGCATCTATTCTGGCGCCGGATTACAGGCCTCTCAGCGTAGATACAGGACGTATCAGCCAGGATCACACAAGAGGAAGGTCACACAGGAGCGTTCGTGTTTGTTTAGTTTTTATTGCCCCATCTTTCCCCCTGAAGTACATACAAGTAGAGGTGTTTTATCTCTTCTTATTGTGGAAAAGAGGGTTTCGTCCTCGACAGACGTTGGGGAGTTTCAACCTTTGTGAAGGTGTTCTCCACATTATTACCCCCCCCTTTTTCGAGGCTTCTTCTTGTTTGCTAGGCAAGAGAAGTCTTCTTGGGGTAACCGGAACCCGACCGGCTGGCGGCGAGTAGAACCACCTTTTTTTCCAACAATCTGCTGTGCGTGCGTGCGGGTGCGCCACTTCCGCCACGCATTGCCACAAGTTTCGAGTTCGATAGACAGTGCATCGTTTTCTTGGCCCACCCACCGTTTTTCTTTTTTCCGTACTCCGGGAGAAAACTAGGTGAGCAGCGGGTTTTGAACCCGTGTCTTTCACAACCAGAAGCAGACACCCAACATCTCGTCGTCAACCCCATTGTGGAAAAGAGGGTTTCGTCCTCGACAGACGTTGGGGAGTTTCAACCTTTGTGAAGGTGTTCTCCACATTATTACCCCCCCCTTTTTCGAGGCTTCTTCTTGTTTGCTAGGCAAGAGAAGTCTTCTTGGGGTAACCGGAACCCGACCGGCTGGCGGCGAGTAGAACCACCTTTTTTTCCAACAATCTGCTGTGCGTGCGTGCGGGTGCGCCACTTCCGCCACGCATTGCCACAAGTTTCGAGTTCGATAGACAGTGCATCGTTTTCTTGGCCCACCCACCGTTTTTCTTTTTTCCGTACTCCGGGAGAAAACTAGGTGAGCAGCGGGTTTTGAACCCGTGTCTTTCACAACCAGAAGCAGACACCCAACATCTCGTCGTCAACCCCATTGTGGAAAAGAGGGTTTCGTCCTCGACAGACGTTGGGGAGTTTCAACCTTTATGAAGGTGTTCTCCACATTATCCTGATATAGTCAAAAACGTAACAGGAGGGGGCCGTCCAACAGGGCCGTCTCGTTTTGGATGGCCCAAACACGACGAAAAGCACTACCCAAGGAAGCGGTTCCTTGGGTCACAAAAGGGACAGCCGAAACTTAAACCATTAGTCTAGACCGTAGATTGCGTACGGCAGAGTCTACATATACATAGCCTTGACTACACCTCTATAACAGATTCCGCGCAACACACGTCGGCCGTTCTCGTAGACCTACTCGACCTCTATCACCTTGGTTGGGGCGGAGGGGCCGATTCTTCACCCTATTGAGTGTTTTACTTACAGAGCATACATAGCGTCCCGGAAAGGAATGCAATCATAAGACTACGTCGCAGACCAAGCGTGCGTGCGTTCCTGAAGTTTTCATTTGCAATATGAACGTGCACGTGCACCTGCCGCAGAGCAGCACCTGAAAGCGCATGAGGGCCGGTCTGGACCTCCGATGAAGTCTCGAAAGCTGTAGTCTAATGGGTAAGCCTTTCTAACAGGCGAAACTTGTTCGCATGCCATAGGAGATAGATCGCGGTGAGGACAGAAATGCTTGTTGGGCGTACGCCGTGGCAAGAACAGACCTCGGAACACAAGACGAACGGCCCATCAAGTCTCTCGACACATATCCCGAGTCATAGAAGCATGTGTTAGCTCCGAGACGGTTGTCGGTTGTGCACGCCCCTTTTCCACCCCACAGCGGATGTTCCAAGCCCGCTGTCGCAAGCTGTCATTAACAAGTACCAGTCTGTCCGGGGATATGGTACCGATTTGGACATCCGTTTGTTTGACTGGTTTGTTTCTCCTAGCATAACTTTTGCTGCAGACCGAAATTTCCGAAACGTTTTTTTTTGCTGCGCAGAACTCTTTTCAGCGCAGACGCCAGAAATGCCAGAAAACGCACTTTTCAAAAAATCAGACCACACACCCCTGTTGAGGTGCCACCAAGTCGAGCCAAACTGAGCTCTTTGGCGCGAATCGCCGGTTGGATGACTTATCAGCGGACCCACGAACATGTCTGCTGCGGAAAGCGCTGCCAGCAGACCAAAACGCAAGAATTTGACAACTTCGGAGAAAAAAGGCATGGTTGCCGAGCTGCTCAAGGGCAGCAACAATGGGGTTTGAGCCATGGTGGCGTGAAGATGGTGGCATCTCTGATATCCCGGGGATGATATTCCAGCATCCCCGGTTAGCCCATGACATTTTTTTTTTGGGGGGGGGGCTTCGTACGTCATGCAATGACCGTATGACCGTGGACGGCGATAGAGCGATTCCGATCACCAAAATAGCCCTCTGCGCTTCACTAGTCCAAACCGGAACTATATTGCCGGATGTCCAAGTCGGTACTATATCCCCGGACAGACTGGTACGAAGTACTTCGTATCGGCGGTTCTGCGCCTGTCCTCAGCTGACTAGTCTATGTAGCTTGACTAAGGGCGCGGTGCTCTCGGAACCTTTGCTATTGTCTCACACAGTCACGAAATATCCACATCTCAATTCCACTGTAATACTAGTCTGCTTGTACATGCAGGGTTGTTTCGAAGTAAGAAAAGACTGGGAGATCAACAGGCATGTAATATAGGGCACTTCCGTAGTCTAGACGGCGAATTTACTACATGTAGGAAAGATGTTCCCGTTCGAGCACATATTGATTGCCGGTTACAGTTTTTTCGGCATGATGCGGCGCAATTACCCGCTCGTTTTGGCGCGGCCGTCCCGTACATCGAAGACTTTACCCACGCCGCCAAGACATGTTGGTAACAAGTGGAGGAGATCCCAAGCTAGCAGCTATGCGCTTCGTTTAACTCTTGCACGACCGCTACATGTACAACGTACTTGCTGAATGACAGCTTGCGTCCGCGGGTGCAGACATCCGCTGTGGGGTGGAAACGGGGCGTGCACAACCGTCTCCGGGACTAGCACGTGCCTGTGTGACTCGGGATATGCATCAAGAGACTCGATGGGCCGTTCGTCGTGTGTCCCGAGGTCTGTTCTTGTCATGGCGTACGCCACAATCGCTGTTACTTCTCTCATTACTTCGATATTTCTCCTGTGGCATGCGAGCAAGTTTCGCCAGCTTTCGAGACTTCATCAGAGCACCAGATCGGCCCTCATGCGCTTTCGGGTGCTGCTCTGTGGCAGGTACTCGCACATTTGTATCGGAATTAAATCTTGACATACCATATAGTCTACGGGGGTGATAAACACCTGTCGAGCCACTATCTCGGTTCGTTGCCGGTGTACGAAGTCGCTGCCCAGCCGCAGATATGAATCCATCAGTAGTTTCCATCAATAGTTTTGGCAAGGCTGGGGTTCTTCGGCCCATAGGTTAAGCTACCAATGGCAGCTAGCTAACGTAATTGGTTCCATTGTTAGGCTCGAATTCTTATAGTCTGATAAAATGATACTACTTTCGAAATAATGTCGAGAATAAATTATTGGCTGGCAAGTTCTTGAGCGGGGGCGCAAACTGTAGAGAAAAACCTCTCAAGAGCACATCCATCCGCCCGTTGCCTCTTCTCGTCCATCGCTCCCGACTGTGCTGTCGCCGTTTGTACCGAAGCTTTTTTGCCGCAGGAATGGCATGCAACTTCTCCCTGGCAACGGCAATGGGTGGTAGCCTTTCGCTGCCGGAGTTGTACGTTTTACAAACAAACTATGCGGTGTTTCTCCCGGTTCTGATGTTCGGGATCCCGATCGTCGTGGACTTCTGGGTGCAGAGCCTGCCGATGCATGTGAGCGACCAAGCCGTTAGTCTACACAATACTTCTGGACATGAAACACAATGTATCTGCCAGTCGCTGCGTTGGTGTGCTTTGTTCTCCGCCTGCATACTTCGTTGCACCATTCACTGGCTTGCGTGGTGGGATAACTTCGGATAGCGCTCAGGCAAAGCGGAAGTTGGGTATCTCGTCATTTTGGTGAGCAAAAGAGTCAAGATAACCGCGCGCTTGTAGGTTGCGTGTGTCGAAGCTGATGGACCGATTGATCCCCCCTTTCCCAGTGGAGCTGCGTAAGATGTGTCAATGGTGTCGGTGCTAGGCTTGCATATGCGACCTTCATGTATCATCTCATCGCCTGCTCATCATGCGCTTCCTGCGTGTGCCGCGCCCGTGGGATACCCGCGCCTACGGTGGCGACTCGTGTACCATCGTGATCGCTCATGATTTGTACGGTACGCGAGGTGTTCCTGGGATGCACCGCCCACGGTGGTTGCTCATGATAGGCCGTAGGGTGCTCATGGGGCGACGGTGTCTGTTGGGTTGCCAGGCGTGGGAGCGCCCAAGGCTGTCGTGGAGGCTCATAGGTTGGAGCTTGGTGTCGAAGGATCACCCGATGACCCATAAGTCACGAAAGGACGCCTCGTGGGCTCGGATCCGTCGCGATGTTCACCGGAACGCCGCCCGATGTGATCATTAAGATTCTGGTAAACCGTTTGTGTGTCGTCCGCCAGGAGACATCGGTCCTCACTGGCAGCGCATAGGCCGCCGTTGACAAGCTCACGACCCTAGAGTGGCCCGCTCAAACACACACATGCCGCCAACGACGGCCCACGGCAGCAGATCGGCCGTCACTAGTAGTCATATGCAAGTTGCGGGGCTCCCTGGGGTTCGTCATTTGCGTGGTAAAACGCCTCATCAATATTAATGAGACCCGTAAGGCAGCCCATGAGCCGCCCGATGGCCCATGAGCCGTCCGATGCCCCATGGGCCGCTGGTGAGCGTATGAGCCGCCGCCCGTGGCCGAATATGGGCTTCGATGACCGTCCACGAGCCGTCTCATGGGTTGGGAACTCAAGACACCCCCCCAAGTCCTACGTTCGCCATAGGACGCCTTCTCCTTGATGGTAGTCCATCTAACGTCGCACGCACGCCCTATGGAAAGTACCCATGCTGGCAAGCCTCGCCGTAGCTCCCTTGGGGAGGGTGTATACAAGGCTGATTACCTAGTCGTGCTTCAGCATGGGTACCTATTCTCACAGGGAAGGAGTGGCAATCAAGCGGCTACTCAACCTGTCCAGGAAGGCTTTCTATCGAATCACCTTTGACTGCCCGTCACCTCATTTTTTCTCAACAAACAAAATCATGCTGTCCCCCTTCCCCCGCCCGGCCCTCGAGAATGGTGCCAGTCGCGTCACAGTTGGCGTGCATTGTAGGAGTGACGCTCCGTTTTTCAAAGATTTATTGTGGGCGAAACATCTTACCACGTGGTCTGTTTGTCGCGAAAGAAAGGAGAAGTCAATTACCGAGAACGACAAAATGCCAGCTACAAAAAGCATCACCACCGCTAAGCCCCACTGCATCTTCCCCCCCCCGCGCGCGGTCTGCAGCTGCTTCCCGACCACAGCTTTCTGGCGAAGGCAAAGGTCCTGGCAGACGAGTTCAAAGTCTTCCAAGCGCTCAGCATGGGGCTCCTGGTCGGTATCTCCGTGATTGGCTCGTTCTCTTTCAGTGGCGCGCAGTGGCCGTTTCAAGCCGTTGATACTATCATTGTCCTCGGTGCAGTCACAACGGTGAGAGCCGTAACCAACCAATCAGAGCCGCCGAAGTGGTGTTTCGTTCACCACCCCGTCAACGAGCTGTTGTCTTCGTCGTTGTGGGTAGGACTAGGCGGCTAGATCACGACGAGAGCGAGCGCGCGTAGGGAGGTAGGGGAAGGGCGTGTGATACGGAAGGATGGCCGAAGTTCGGCCTCGAGGCGAGAAAGTCTCCGGTGTATCACAGCTCTACTTTGCAGAGCTGCTACATTGGAGAGAAACGAATTATTCTGCACAGAAAGTATGCGGGATGATGCATGAATAAGCAGCGCGTGTCGTTCGCCGTACGTGCCCGCTTCGTTTGTTTGCTCGGTGGGAACTTCTGGAACCCAAAGGTTGGGCTGACGAGCGTCGTGGCACACCAAATTATTGGCTGCATCGACGACGCCCGGGCGAAGGTGAGCCGTGCCCAGATTCTTGCGCGGGGGTGTTGTGGAAATAGTGGGTGGAGCGCACCGACAACAAACATCACCACGAATTTGTCAGCGCGATGCTCGTATTCTTGCGTGATCCGTGGCCAACCAACGGCTACCGCAGAGGGCTTTGGGCTAGATGTAGTCATCGCGCATCACGGTTTGTCCTCATTCTTATCACATTCTCTTCTTCTATAACAGCGCTTTTCGAACGACAGAAGCACAAAGCTCGAAGAATAGAGGTGCCCAGACTGATTCGAAACCCAACTGCAAACGGGTAGGCAGAGATGAAGTTTTTGTTTGAGTGGATGATGCGAGAGCGCGCGAAGGAGGAGGAGAAAGAGAATTGAGAGTAAACAACTACAATTTGAGGCAGAGCATGTACCGGTAGTCCGGCCGATGAACGAACAACATTGTGTGACCACTGCCGGCTGCATCGCATGGATTTTGTTCATTCTCTGGTCAGAACATGCTCTGTAGCTGCGGTCACAGCTCACGCGACCCCCGTTTGCTGTGCGCTCTTCCTCAAGGAAGCTGAATACTGCGGTATGGTGCAGCATGTCCAGAGGGCGCTGTGTTTTATCGGGCATAACGCTGTCATTTTGAGGTCGGTCCTTTGCGCGTTCTGCATGCACTCATCACGCTACGCATATCGCGCCCCACGACGTTGGTACTCGTATCCTCATTTGCCCCCTTCGTGCAAACAATGCAGTCATCGTCTCAGTCGGCAAAGGTTTTCTATGCCAAGACAAAGGCCGGGATCCTTAAGCAGATTACGGGCTACTTCGTACTTGCCGGGGCGAACGCTTCCTCGGCAATCGCTTTCACCTACACGGCGACCGGGCGGGCGACACCGATCATCCCCTTCAGCACTTATGTACGCGTGAGCCACATACAAAGTTGCAGTGGGTTCATTGTTTTTTCGTTCAACCATCGCACATGTGCAACAAATGTGGACCGCGTCACACGCCCCCGGTTTTCCTGATACGGGGCCAGCTTGTTTCCGTAGGGGCGAGAGGTTCAGTCTTGGAATGCCGCCGAGGCGAAAAGCGCGTCTACATGTATAGGCACATCGCCCTAGTGAAACACTTCGAGCAGACGAGCGAATGTCCTCTTCTACGTTAAATCCATTGTGCATTGTAATCCCAAACCTCTCCTGGCACCATCACCACCGTCGTCGTACACGACTCAACAAGGTGCTAACCGGAGTGCTAGCGTTCGGACCCTTTGCCGTCTTCACAAGGTTCGGCCCCTCAGCGACCCGGCGGCCACAGCTGCCACCCTCGCCACAGTCGCCACAAGAGGAGGCGCGGCGGGAGGAGAAGCTGACGAGAACCTGTGACCGCCCGCTTTTCCAAAGGGCGTCCTCCAGAGTGTCGTCGCTGTTCAGTCGGGTGTTGGACCACGTGGAGAGCGGCAATGCGGTTGTGGCGGTGATATGCGAGGATACAGAGATTCAAGGATCGGAAAACGAATACGACCCGGGGGGGGGGACCTCCCGAACCAAAGGAATAGCGGAAGGTCTGTGAGAAGATCGCATTCCACAGAACGCTCGAGATGTGACCCTTTGTTTCTGTGCGCAGAACCAAGAATGTTCAGACGGTAGGACAAAGTCTACGATTGTGTAACCTCGAGCCGCAGCTCCTCAGTGGAAGCAAGCCCACAGCATGTGTGTAGATCATGAGGCAAATGACAGCTTGGCATGCCCATAGATTGTCTCAACCCATCCCTTGACTCCCTTCCACGACTTCTCAAACGTTTGTGTGGGTGTAAAAAAGATGAAAACGGCGGGAACCTCTAGCGACGGTCTCTGTTACGAGCGTCACCTTCCGTAGGGAACCGCACGAGAGCGAGGCGGAGAGGAGGGGGGGAAAGAAACTCGACAGGACTGAGTTGTTTGTATTCCTTCGTCCGGCGTTTTTTCTGCTTCCCCCTCTCGTCGGCAAATATGTGAAGTGTTTACTTGGTAACGGTTTCTTAATCGGCAGTGTCACACGGCGGTAATTGTTTCGACGGCAGGCGGTACTGAGCTTTTTGGCGCTATTGGCTTTGTTAGAGGTGGTCAAACCTAAATGTGACCCCTTGTGTTTCGGCGGTAATGCCACAGGGCGGATATTGTGTTGCAAGTAGGTGGTAGGATAGTGCGTTTTTCCCCTGAAACGCTGTACGGCGGTATTTGTTGGCGGGAAGTGGTATTATATTGCGTTTTCTGGCGGTATCGACTTTGCCGGAGGTGGTCAAACCTAAATATGACGGTACGTATATTTGGGATTATTATGATTTCTTGCTGAGGTGGTAAAACCAAAGCCGGCGGTAAGCCTGTGGCCACAGGTACCGCCCACCAGGGCGGTAATTTCACGGCGGTGATGAACGCCATGTCGACATAAGCAAGCGACAAACAAGGCCAGGTGCTAGGTCATGGCGCCCGAACAAACGGCAAACGTCTTCTCCGACGTTTAACTCTGTACACGACTTGTCGGTGAATTTGCACCCTGTTGCGTCAACACCCGAGCAAAAAACAAACAAGAACGAAAAAAAACGAGCATCCCGCATGGACTCGAACCCCGGACTGCTCGTTCAGTCGATGAGACGAGGCGTGGGCCCGTTGAACCCATCGGCCTATTTCCACTTTCTCCGCCAGCGGTAATTTGGGGGCGGTGTTGTCATTCGACGGTAACTGCTTTTCTTTGGGTAGTCGGCACTGCTTTTCTTGGCGGCAATGACATTGGCGAAGCGGCAGTTTTCGGCGACAACTTACGTCGAACGGCAATGATTTCTTGGCGGTAGGCGGCGATTGCACTTTTCGGCGGCAACGAATTTGGCGGAGGCGATAAAGACAAATCAAGGGGGGTAGACCGGCCGGTACCATTTTGTGTTTGTTCCGAACCCCCGAGTCGCGAGAAATCACCCCACCCATCGGCCCTCCTGCACTACGTAATTAACACACACTCAGCAAGTTTGAGCTTGATTGGTGCTTCCTGCGATAACGTTTTTGGCTGTGTCCGTTGTTGTTGTTGTTGTCTTCACAATGACAACAACAACAACAACGGACACAGCCATTAAAAACCATCCCGATCTCTCTATCCAGTACCTCCTTCTGTCTCAATCTCTCCGTACTAATCCATCACTTGACTCGGCCAATTTCCGTGGTCACAGGCTAACGTACCTAGAAAAGGTATACCAAAATAAAATGGACCCCAAGGGTCAGCAGAGCGATAAAATACAAGAAAACAAAATATAATCAGAAACAAATAAAATAA